GCTGGGAAACTTTTTGCTGTTGTATAGTGCGAGGTGACACAGTTGTACCCTGTGCCTGAAGGTCAGCATGAATTGGTCTGGAAGTTGATGGAGGGTCTTTATCCACCATTCCAACAATCCTTGATCAATTGTTCTCTTTCGTCCACATCCAGGGAGATTAGCTACAGTGCCATGGGCTGTAAACTTCTTGACAATGTTGCGCACAGTGGACACAGGAAATGAGTACTGATATTTTTTTTTCCGGTACTCACCGATACAGAGTACTGAGTACTGGTGCCGTGTGCCCTGATTATCAGAAAGTCGGCTGGCGGATCATGACCCATCGCCCGGCTTCCTGATTGCCTGTGAAGCCGGTGTTCTAGCGAAAGAACACCGGCTTCACTTTCCGAGGCTGCATGGCTTCCTGAACAATTAGGAAGCCGGGTGGCGAGCCTTGAGGTGCCATCCGGCTTCCTTGGTTAGGAAGCCAGTCTGCCTACCAACAAGTGAAGCTGGCTTTCTAGGCAATCAGTAAGCCAGGCGGCACGTCATGACCCTCCTCCCGGCTTCCGGATTGGCTAGGAAGCCGGCTTCACTTGTTCCCAGGCAGCCTGGCTTCTTGACCAATCAGGAAGCTGGGTCATTACGTGCTGCCCGGCTTCCTGATTGGTTAGGGAGTCAGGCTGCATAGCAACAAGTGAAGCCGGCTTCCTAGCCAATCAGGAAGCTGGGAGGTGGGTCATACCCTCCCAGCTTCCTGATCCGGCTCCTTGCTCCCTCAGCACTGCCGGTCAGGAGGGTGATCTCCCTCTTGCCGGAGGTTCCTGTATCGGAGGTATCGGAGCATTTACTCGCGGAAATACTCGGTCTCGACACTGATACTATTATCGGTATCGGTGCATCCCTGGTAATACCAATCTACATACACATACTTCTACATAATTGCCAGCTTTGTATTCTTTGCATTCCTAATTTCTCTTTTCTTTCTTAGTCTTCTGACAGTGGCCATGTTTACTAAGGGCAGGTTACTAGCTCTCCTTTTACTTCCTGGATGTCTGGCACATGTGACTAGACATGCGACTAGTACATGTGACCGTGCACCTCATCTCAGGGGAGGAAAATGCCTTTCCAGATGAGATTTCCCAGCAATGCTCTGCTGATGACAAGGCAATCCCAGTGTGCATTGTGTTGGCAAACTGAAATAATTTTGCCCTTTCAAAGCCGGAAGTGAATGCTCTGCAAGTATTTCACAATCACATCATTGTACACCTGGCATGTCTATATTATTATTAATCATCATACATAGAGGGATGCATTGGTAGAATTAGATTTTTGAGTGTAAATGTCCACTTTAAGAAAACCTGCAGTGGTCATCACTCACCTCTCCTTCCCTCCGCTCCTGCTGTGGTTTGTCTCTCAATTTCCAGATGTCAATGACTTACAGAGCCCGGGGAAGAAGAAGCTGTGGGAACCGGTCTAACAGCCTGACAGGACTGAGGATTAGGTGAGTATATCTGCTTTGAGCCCCCTAGACAAAACAAGCACCTAACCCTTTCAGTACAGAGGTATCCCCACTGCAAGGGTAAGACCTTTAAATTTCCGTGTTGTAAAAATGAGGAAAGGGGGAGGTGCTCTCCCTGTCCCAAGATGACGTCACAGCTTCTCCATAGATTCAGTGCAGTCAGTGAGTGTTGTCACTCTAGAACAGGAAGTGTGTTACTGGCAGGATCCTCAGGGCAAAAAAGACTAAAAAACCTAATGCTGCCATTACATCTGCATGACAGTCTTGGATCCGTATTTGTACAGCTAAGGGCATGGTCTGTCCGTGTGCCATATGTGCCAGCTTGTGGCCTTTTGGTTATGGTTCGCATGTGTACATATATTAGGGATGCACTGAAACCGTTTTTTCGGTATTGAGTACGAGTATCGATATTTTGCTTTCAGTACCCGCCGATATCGAGTACCGATACCGTGGCTTCCGCTCGCATGGAGCCGGCTTACCAGGCAATCAGGAAGCCGGGCGGCAGGTAATGACATGCTGCCCGGCTTCCTGATTGCCCGGGAAGCCGCGTCCATGTTGTTTGGCCGGCTTGATTGTGATTGGCTGGGAAACCGGGCTCCGAGTCTGGTTTCCGGCCAATCAGGAAGCCGGACAGCGAGTAATGACCTGCCTCCGAGCTTCCGGATTGGCCGGGAAACATATCCAGCCAACATCCCAGCCAATCAGCATCGAGCTGGCTTCCTGGCCAATCAGGAAGCTGGGAGGCGGGTCAGTATTCGCCACCCGGCTTCCTGATTGCCGGGGAAGCCAACTCCATGTTCCCCTACGGCACTGCCCTTTCGAAAGTTCCGGTATCGAGGAAGGTATCGCAGCATATGAGCGAGTACTCGCCCAAACACTCGGTATTGGCACTGATACCGATGCTGGAATCGGTATCGGTGCATCCCTAACATGTATACATAAAACAAATCTGGCAACTGCACAAATTCATTTGTAACTAGCTTTCAAAGTAAGGTGCACATGGAAGGGCTTTTCACAATAGAAACACAAACATTTTCCAGCACACTTACCAGCCAACCTGCAAGAAGCTAACAACGTCTCACAACTTGCGGTTTTAGTTGCTTTTTCAAAATATGTGAAAGCCGCACGGCCTCGTCAAAGCTCCTCTGTGTAGTGTGGTCCTAACTCTAATCTACGAGAGCCTCCATCTTGGAGCATATATAGCAATGGACAAACTTGAGTGCAGGTATGCCTGGAGGTAACCCATTGTGATGTGCTGGGGTTCTGGTGCATCCCCATGCCTTTAAGGAGGAACAGGCTACCTCTAGGCACTCAATCTGTCCATTGCTATATATGCTCCAAGATGGAGGCTCTCATAGATTAGAGTTAGGACCACACTACGCAGAGGAGCCTTGACGAGACAGTGTGGCTTCCACATATTTTGCAAAAATTGTGCATCTAAAACTTCTGTTTTTAACTCAAGTTGTGAGACAGTAGAAATGTGCATGTTTCCATAAACGTTCAAGCATTGGCATGAGTGGGTTAGCGTACATCAGCTTGCATCCCTGACACTGGACATTATCACTGGCTTGGAGAATATTTAAACACCTTCCTTTCTGGCGCTTTGTTTTCCTACCATCCACTCTGTGCTTTGTCCTTAATACTCACCGCTGACCCAGATCACCTGACTCTGCTCCTGTTTCCAGCCCCTGCGGTTGAATCTACCTGTTCCTGTTATCCTCTTGCCTGCCTTATACTGACCACTCTCTTGCTTGCTACCTACCTCAACCTCTGTCCGACACTGCTTACGCTCTTGCTTGCTGCCTGCTTCAACCTGTCTGGACACAGCCTTGCTATCTTTTCCCATCCTGTCTCCTCATCATAGGAACCCTGCTCCTGCGACCCCTTAACATGGCAAACTCTAGGGCCAGATTGCAGGGACTGACTCAATGCCCTCTAAATTGCACTACAGGCAATATCAGCCAAAATAAAGCAAATAAAATAAATAAAACAGTAAGAGTTGTGACTCAAGAACAGGAAGTGTGTTACTGGCAGGATCCTCAGGGCAAAAAAGCCTACAAAGCGTAATGCTGCCATCACATCTACAGTTACACCTACATGACAGTACCTCTTGGATCTGTATCTGTACAGCCAAAGGCATGGCCTGTCCCTGTGCCATATGTGCCAGCTTGTGGCCTTCTGGCTTTTCCCATCCCGTCTCCTCATCGTAGCAGCCCTGCTCCTGCGACCCCTTGACATGGCAAACTCTAGGGCCAGATTGCAGGGACTGGCATCAATTGTTCAAAGCCCTCAATAATGCGCTACAGGCAATGTCAGCCAAAATAAAGCCAATAAAATAAATAAAACCAATTGGAATTCTTCTTTCATTGACAATTTCCACCAAAAAGCGGATATCAGACTGGCTGCTTTGGGTTACAGAACTTTAATGCGTGATCATGGCTCTTTTGCACTATTCACTAAACAAGCCTGACTTTCCAAACGTGTCAAGGACATTAGAGGGTGGTGAAGGTGCAGGCATGATTTTACTGCCCACAAAGGATATCCCTAAACAAGAATATTAACATGGGGTGACTGTACATGTCCAGGCCTAAGGTGAGAGGTGAAAGGACAAGATTTCCAACGCTGGCTTATATATCTAATAGAGAAAACCCAATATGAATCATGCTCTAACCCCTTGGTTCTCAACTGGTGGGTCGCGACCTCATTTTCAGTGGGTCGCAGCATGCCCTCCACTTTTCTAGGTGTGTGGCTCCTCTGCCTCCCCCTAGCGCAGCACTGTCAGTTCTCCCACCAATCAGCCATTCAGAATATGCTGCCCTGCACCGAGTGTCAGCTTGAGGTGGGATAGAATGGGGCTATGGCCGCGAGGGAGCTCCATCCATACATGCATTGCTTACAGCTCCCTCATGTGTCCTGTAGAGGTGCCTGGACCAGAGTAACGCACTGTGCCACGCAATCACACCTGTGCTCTGGTGTGGGAGGTATGTTGCGTTGCCTTTCATTTGAATGGTACCCCAAACACAACTCCCACCCACAGTTCGATAGCCCGCACCGGAACGCGCGTTACCACAATGCCGTACAGTCCATTGCAATACGATTTGGGTCGCGACTTAATGACCAGGGACAAATGTGGGTCCTGAGGTTACACAGGTTGAGAACCACTGCTCTAACCTGTAAGATAGTTTTTCCGCCACATAAGCCACAGCTGGCAGTATTGGCAGGCAGCCCACATAGCTGCTCCAGCCGAATCGAAGGCTTGTAATCTAATGTCTATGCAGACCATAAAGCCGCATGTCCAGCAAGGGCTGTCATATGCAAGTGTAGACATGAGCCTCAGATGCATCCACGAGACTCTACACATCTATATATACACACTTGCTTAGGAGAGTGATGACAATGATGAGCGAGTACATGGTGTGCTAACTCCTACAATTAGATCTTGCTTCTCAGTGACATCTGCTCTTATGCTTGTTTACTCCGTTTTATAGAAGATGAATACCTGGAAGCTGTCTTTACTTGTGTGCATCTCAACATCAAAGGTGATCTGTCCTTCTTCAGGCGAGGGGCTGGAAGAAAAAATACAACAAAAGAAGCTTAAGAGAAGATGCGCAGACAATAAAGGAAATTCCAAAAGATGTCACCAGCACTCCAGAAGTAGATTCAATATATTTTAATGACAACGGTCATTCAAAATCACAAGTACTTTCGGGGCCACGTTGGGTCCCCGTCATCAGGCTCAGAATAACACACTGTGCAACCCAAACCTACATATATACACATCTGTGACCTTTAAAAACACAGCCAATCCCGCCCCCAATTGCATAACAAGTACATGTTTCCCGCCCTGTCGGTTTTCAATTAGGTAAACAATAACCGGTAAGGAGTGCAGGAAGATACACACAATTTTGGACAATAAAGGAAAGACGCTGGAGAATAAGAATCAATAAAGTCCAACCATGAAAGAGTCTGAGTGGAGGCATGAGACATTTAGGAACTGACGTGTAAAACATGAATCCAGCATATAGCTACACGAGTGCCGTTCACCCAGCATTTAGGCCACTAGATGGAGCCAAGGAGCATAGAAATGTCTTATGTTCCCATGGCTCTAGCTAGTGACAGTCATGTCGTGCCAGCAGCATTCACTCAGCTATATGCTTGGCAGACGTTTTATGCATCAGTCCCTTAAAATCAAAATCCTGTATCTAAGCTTGTGGTGGCATAGAGCGCTCCCTGCCTAACAACCACCCTTCTGATGTACACACTCATCTCAGGGCTGCTGTCTTGTCCTGTCTTTCCTGCAATACACGAGGACACAGACAGCAAATATACTTACCGTATTTGCGGGCGTATAAGACGACACCCTAAATTTTCTGTTAAAACATAGGTTTTGGGCTATACTCGTCGTATAAGACGAGCACAGCCCAAAATAATGTTTAAATACACCCACTAACCTCCTTGGCGGTATTCCCGAGTGTGGCTCGGGGGTTAATTTTCAGTACCGTAAGCGGTAACCCAGAGCCAGACTCGGGATTACAGCGTAGCGCCCCCGCTGTGTCCTCCGTCTTCCGTCCCTTGCAAGCGTCCGCGTCGCAGGGGGGCGGAACTGGCGGGAATTTTAAAAGTAAAAAAAAAAAGGATTTTTTTTTAAATTATCAGACCGCCAGGGAGGCTAATCTCTCAGCCCACTGGATGTGCGGTAATACTGTATGTACGGTAGCTTCGGCTACATACAGTATACCGCGCTGAGCCAATCACGGCGAGCAATGTACACAACCTCTGCCAATCCGAGCAGGCTTTGTATTCATTAATAGAATGCATCGCTCGCCGTGATTGGCTCAGAGCGGTATACTGTATGTAGCCGAAGCTACCGTACATACAGTATTACCGCACATACATCCATGATGTTTTTAAATGGTGTTGCCTCGGAAGGTGGGGTAGTCTTATATGACGAGTATAGCCCAAAACCTATGTTTTAAGTGGAAAATTAGGGGGGTCGTCTTATACACCCAGTCGCCTTATACGCCGGCAAATACGGTAGCTTTACAACTCCGAGGAGGGTGGGGAGCATGAAGAAAAGCTGTAAATGTCAGCCTGACCTGTTACATCCTGGTGATATGTTTGCTGTGACTGAACTTGGCATTATTGCTTGGATTAAAGTAATACTAAACTGCGTAAAAATGTGCAAAAACAGAATGGAACCGAAATGCGTCCGGGCAGCGTATTTCTGCGTATTTTACGCGCATACGCATGTTTATGTGCATACAGTTCGTTAAAATTTCTATTAGGAGTGATGCATTCTGGGAATGCAAATAGTGCACGCATATACGCACATATAAGCTCGTATATACGCAATATACAATATGTGTGTGAATGAGGCCTAACTATTAACAAATGTATCAGGGGCCAGGTGACACCCAGTGGCTAAATGTCCTAGCTAAATTTCTTAATCCTCCTGTCCCATCGCACTCCTGACCGGACAAAAACCCAAATCCAACTGGGTGGGTGCGGCTTTGAAATGTAGATAGATGAAAGTAGTCACTCGCACTCCATGATAATAAAGTCAATGCTGTCAGACCAGGTCGTTTGCTAAATGTACACTAAATATGGTATACGCCGGATTGTATACGGTGTATAAGATGACCCCCGGTTTTCGGGGGATGTTTTTAAGTCTAAAAACTTTCCTTATATGCCGGCAAATACGGTATCTCTTCCTCTACAGATATTTCTGGGGCAGGAAGCAACACTAGACCCAGAAATACCGTTGTTAGCTGCTAGGCCCTTGGATTACCGGGGACATAAAGTGTTCTAAAACCTAAATCACTGGTAAACTATAGAGACCAGGCAGAACTTCTGACTCTGAGCTCCCAGCTCTACCATCCTACCGATCAATTATGAGGGGGTGGCAGACTCCATGATAAATCCTTAATTTATACTACATTGCAGTGACTAGGTCTGCAAACCTTATCCCTGGGGGTGGAAAAAAATCATTTGGAATTCAGGAGCCAGCCCGATTTTTTTATTAGGAGCAAGCTTCATTGACTACAACTAGAGAAAACCCCAAAAGTTAGGCACCAGCTCCTGGGATTTGTCCAGCCCTGTCCCAAAAATGTAATAAAACCCCAAATTGTCAGGAAAAAGGCACTATATAAAAGAGATATGGGACCTTGCCGAATACCAGTGGACAAACCTTAGATGATACACTATATTGCCAAAAGTATTGGGACACCTGCCTTTACACGCACATGAACTTTAAATTATAACAGCTTCAACTCTTCTGGGAAGGCATCTGCAAGGTTTAGGAGTGTGTCTATGGGAATGTTGGACCATTGGTGAGGTCAGGTACTGATGTTGGAGGAGAAGGCCAGGCTCGCAGTCTCCGCTCTAATTAACAACTTCTGCGCACTTCAGCATGCGCTTCATGGCTGAGTTGCTGTTGTGCCCAGTTGCTTCCACTTTGTTATAATACCACTAACAGGTGACCGTGGGATATTTAGTAGCCAGGAAATGTCACGGAACACCTGAATCCAATGATTCTGGAGGGGCGTCCCAATACTTTTGTCAATATAGTGTATATTGTCTCATGCACACAGGCGTATTGTATATTGTCTCATGCACACGGGCGTATTGTATATTGTCTCATGCACACGGGCGTATTCCGGAGCAAATACCGGTGTATTTTCATACATCCTGTATGTGCAGCGTCCAAATGCCGCAGCTGCTGTGGTTTTCTCTCCATGGCAATGTATGGACAGAACATGCTATACTCAGGTATACTCCTGTAAACACTGATACCGGCATTTGCAAGAGGTAAGTTTCCGAATTTCAAGACTGGATCATGCAGCAATTCCATTTTCAGGATAAGATGGTCAACAACTGCAGCCACCAGAGCTCACTAAATATGAATTTCCTTTAACTTTATAATAAAGTGTCTAGAAACATGGGACTACGTGGACATGCAGGGAAGAGCAGAAAGAAATGTAGATAGATGAAAGTAGTCACTCGCACTCCATGATATTAAAGTCAATGCTGTTTATTGACTGAGATAACACACATCTCCTTAGCGACGTTTCAAGACCATGTGGCCCCGTCTTCAGGCAAACAGAGACCCCTCAGGCAAATGTGGCCCCGTCCCTCTCTGTTTGCCTCAGGACGGGGCCACATGGTCTTGAAACGTCAATAAGGAGATGTGTGTTATCTCAGTCAATAAACAGCATTGACTTTTAATATCATGGAGTGCGAGTGACTACTTTCATCTAGCTAAATTTCTTTCATCACTCCTAATAGCAATTTTAACAAACTGTACGCACATAAACATGCGTATGCGCGTAAAATACGCAGAAATACGCTGCCCGGACGCATCTCGTTTCCATTCTGTTTTTGCGCATTTTTACGCTACGCAAATATGCGGCTCCATATGCGGCTATGGTTATGGAGCCATTTATTTGCATATGTTGCATATGGTACAATACGCCTATATGCGCGACAGTGTGAATGAGGCCTTAAGGTACTTGAATGTATTTTTAAGATGTAACTCCTGAGTTTAGTATTACTTTAATCCAAGCAATAATGCCAAGTTCAGTCACAGCAAACATATCACCAGGATGTAACAGGTCAGGCTGACATTTACAGCTTTTCTTCATGCTCCCCACCCTGCTCGGAGTTGTAAAACTCTGTATGCTGTTAAAGTTTTACCATTAAGACGCACAGACACTGCTCAATTACCAGCTAAATTAGGCCTAATCTTCCGGTAATCTTCCCACGCACAGGAAGAATGCCATGACACAATGACTCGATCTCATCCTCTATGTAGCCACCATTCCTAACATTTCCAAACAAACCAGTTAGTATGTTGGGGAATACGTGAAGAACAGAAAATACTCATCCAATGTTTTTTTTCCTTAAAAGAATCCTCTGCTGAAAGAAATATATAGGCTGCAATTTTAAAAACTCTAGTAGCCTGGCTGGCTGTCTGTGTCTTCAATACTTTCTGAGTTGGACAAGCATGCACATGTGAACTCATGACATCTGCTCTTCATGCACATTCCGGGGCAAGCAACTCAGTGAGTATTACAGCCACGGGTTTAGAATGACAACAGGCAACTAGTGTTTCCACAAGGAGGGATCCCCAATGGCTGCCGATATATTTCTCGAAGTACAGTGTTTCTTTAATGATGAAGGCCTAACAAAGAGCTCTCACCGGTACACCATTAGGCTGGTTTCACACCTAGGCGTATCGAATATGCGCGATTCGCGGTAAAAAACGCACGACAAACACGCGTTTCCGAGGGTTACTTGGCTGTATCCCAATGGAAACGCGCAACAGAAACGCCCAAAAGAAGCCCCTGTACTTCTTTGGGCGTAGGGCGTTTTGTAGCACGTTCATACGGCCTGTAATACGCCCAGGTGTGAGCCATACCCATAGGAAATAATGGGATTTCAGTGTTTGAGCGTTTTGCAGAGCGTTCGAACGCGCTACAAAACGCCCAGGTGTGAACCAGGCCTAAGGCCTCATTCACACAAGAAACGGGCGGCCCGTAAAGATCCGTGCAGCGCGCACGGCCGTATCGGGCTGCTCCCGGGGAGGACGGGTGCCACTTGTGATTGCACGCAGCAGCCTGTCCTTCTCTATGGGAGAGCTGCACTTTGGTACTCGTATGCTGACAGGATGGATCCTGTCTGTTCCCAAGCAGGGACACCCGCACCCGTAAGGATGTGCAGGTCGTGTGAGTGTAGGGCGGCGTGGGGCCGCATACTCCCATGGAGTAGGACAGTCTGCTGCGTACTAATCACACACAGCAGCTGTCCTTCCCGGGACCGGCCCGATACGGCCATGCACGCCGCGCGGATCTGTACGGGCCGCCCGTTTCTCGTGTGAATGAGGGCTAAGAGCTGAATACAGACCAGAAGGTTATTTGCCACCATAATATAAGTGTTGTTTTGGAGCTGCTGAGGAACCCCTCCTCAGGCAGACAATGAACAAGACAAACCTGGGGAGTTTTCCAGAATGTCCCCGAAACAACGCTTTCTTCAGTGGTGAATAACATTCTTGTCTATAATCTTGACCAATGGTGTGCCAGTGAGACCTCTGCGTTTGGACTCTGCTGCGGATGTTGTCATCCATCTTTTCACTGCAGCACTCAAGATATGTCGGTCTATGGGTGTAAGGAGTGCACTGGATCACAGAAATACACTGAATCCTTTAATGATAGGGACACCTTGCTATAGGAGCCCTCCAATAACATTCCAGCACATCATTTATTTATATAGCGCCCGCAAATTACACAGTGCTTTACATAGTGCACAGTCACATCAGTCCCTGCCCTCAGGGAGCTTACAATCTAAGGTATGCCATAAGTATAGTTATTCTCTAAGTCAGAGCTGGACAAAATTAACCCCTTAAGGACCAAGGCCTTTTTTTCATTGTTTTGCACCCATGTTCTAATCCACATTTTAGGCCTGAAAATTACTTAAAACCCCCCAACATTATATATTTTCTGAAAGCCAAGACCCTGTAGAATAAAATGGCGGCAGTTGCAAATTTGTATGTTGCACGACATTAGCGCAACTTATTATCAAACCCAAACATTTAGTGAAAAACGCACTTAAGTTAAATATAGTACCCCAAAACACAATATAAAACCATTATTGCTCTCACTCCGGCGTGTGCGGCGATGCCCAACATGTGTAGCGCAATCGTCTTTTTCGTACGGAGGCGCACTCAAAGTGTGTTTAGGTGACAACGTGCATGCACGCAGGGGCGGGGGACTTATATTTTAAAAAAAAATGTTTACATTTAATATTTATAAAACTGTTTTTTTTTCTTCTAACTTTACTTTAATTGCTATCACATAGGGGGACTTACAAGCCTACCATGTGATAGCATAATGGCAGTGACAGGTACTCTTTAAGGTGATACTGGGGGTCCAAAAGACCCTAGTGTCACTTTTACACTTGAAATAAGCGATTGAAGTGCAAATCGCAGGCTTCAGGAGCCCGGCAATGACAGCTATGGGACCGGAAGTGATGCAATACGCGTCGCTTCCGGTCCCATAGCACGGTGAAGGGAATCGACGAACGGATGTTAGTTGCTCTCCTCCCCAGCTTCCCGCCGAAACCCAGCAAGCCGGTCCTGGGCGCGTAGTAGGGGCAGCGGAGCCCAGGTAACAAGGCAGGTGTGTCGGGCGTGGGGGGGCGGTTACTGGATCATAGAAGCGATCTGGCGGCAGCTGAGCCGCCAGAATCGCTTCTACTGTAAAGCTCGACAAAACGGAACAGACTTCAGGTGGCTAAAAGCCGCTGGGAGTCTGTGTAACCCCTTCAGACTTCATGATGGGATTATCGAGTCATAGGTCGTGAAGGGGTTAATATTTAATTCAGGAGCTAGTGTGTCTGATCCAGGAGCCAGCACCTCCATTGACAACAACTATAGGAAACCCCAAAAGTTAGACACCGGCTATAATGTTTAAGAAGAAGCATTGGCTACCCGGCTCCTGGGATTTGTCCAGCCCTGCTCCAAGACACTTCACAAAGTCTCACCTTTCACACTGCGAGCTGCTTCGGGAACTGCTCTGTCCGGACTCGTGCTGGGCATCCAGGAGGATCTTCTCCATGTCTCCATTGTGGATAGAGGAGGAGGATGGCACATGTTCCAGGCCTCCGTTCTTGTTGCTGTCTACATTATTCCCGTTGCTGTTCATTTGGAGCTCCACCCAGGAACCTGTTAGGAAAAGCGAACTGCACTCGTTAGCCAGCGTGAAACTGAAAAGCGTCCTCGCAATCTAATCAGACACAGCAGAGAGGAGAGGGCCGGCCTGGGCATGCGATAAACAACCCACAGCACGCGGATTATGTGACAGATGAAACCTTTTTTGTTTTGTACGAGTGCCCGGTAACAAACTCGCGGGATCCTCTGCTTAACAGCTCAGTCCTGTGACACATCTAGGACAGGCCCACACCACAGGCACACGTGTATGACTGACACACAATGGAATGATCCCCAGGAGGCAACCGACAATTACTTACATCACGCAATCCACACTTATTACATAGAGGAGACATGTATCACCTTCCCGGCACATGACAACTGCAAAGTGACATGTATGATTTAACCCTCGCCGGTCAGGCCCAGGGGAAGCGAGGACCGCAGGAGTGCAAAGGCTGACGACACTGATATTAATATGTCTGCTATATAATTGGACCTCATTAACATTCACAATGTACAGGATTAAATACTGCGCACGGCACCATTACCAAATTACTTTATCTGGAGGACAACATTTTTTATTAACCACTTGCTGCCCGGAGCAATTTCTTACATTTGCACACACATGATGATAAAATCAGATTTTTTTTGGCTAGAAAAACAGCTTCAGACCCCAAAACAATGACATATGTTCTGAAAGCAGAGGCCCTCTAGAATAAAAAGAAGCTAGTTGTAACTTTTTATGTCGCACGGTATTTGCGCAAATGTTTATCAAACAAGTATTTGTAGGATAAAGTACGCCAAAATGAAATTTAGTGCGCAGAAACAGAATATAATACCCAATTTTTTGGTAAAATATAAAAGACGGGGTCACACCGGGTAAATAGACACCAAACAAGTCCAGCCTTAGAATTGCGTGTGTCTGTGAAACCGCAAACAAAACTACCAAAATGTAGCCCCATGCAAGTTACTGTAGCCAAAACTTTGATGCTGAAATCCTTTGACTTGATCTTCAGCTGAATAGATGCGACTGTAAAGAAAATGCTGAGGATATAAGAGAAGTGCTGTATTCAGGGTATTGTGTAGGGAAGGGTTTAATAACACAAGACCCAGAATACAGAATGGGATTAGGATCCAGGATCCTCCCCAGAAACAGAGAAGTTGAATGTACCTGTAAACACCACAAGGTGCCAGCTCTTTGCCGATAATGTTAGCATATAGACTTTGGTGAATAACTTTCAAGTGCCCCAAGAAACCTATTGCTTTTCACCCAGTGGGTTTGTATAAGCTAGCTCTGACCGCTGGAACGTCAAGCAACTTTGCCCAGCAATGGTAGTCTTGGAGCTATGAAAACAGCTGATCAATGGGAGTTTTGAGCAGAATAACAAAACAGCAAAGGGAGCCCAGGTACAGAGTCTCTACACGTCTTTTAAAAAAAGAATACTCCACCAGCTTCATTAAATTACATACACCAATGTGCGATACTATACTTTGTATACCTAGCCTATGTCTTACACCCGCACCCGGAGGTGAACAGACCCGTCCCTTTCCCCTTGGAAAAGGACTTATGTTCCTCGTATGGATAACACAAACAGTTCCAGGAAGAGCTTACATATACAATTATATTCTAAATGCACAGATAAATAATATTCTGGAACGCAGCAACTTCCTTGTATGAGGAGGGAGAGGGATTTGCAACGTTAACTCCTATTTGTAAGTCATCGTTTTCCAATTGGTTCCATCATATTTACAGCTCATAAAACTGGGCAGACTGAACCTATTTATTAATGTATGAGTCAGATAGTGGATCCCATTAATGAACCAATTATCCTACAAATACAAGCTGGGTTATGGGAAAGAGCTTTAGATACATTGTAGGAGGGTAACTGTGGCGGGGGGGGGGGGGGGGGGTGGTATCACTT